GAGCTCCGTACCATTACTGTGCAATTGCTGCGAAGTGCTAAACCCACTATTGCACGATGTTGCCGTACATCGACGCTGAGTGGCCTGTCTTAGTCAGCATTGAAGACAGCACAACAGGGGCAAGGCTCGTTAGGAAGGGAGGTTGTTCCTGAGAATTAGGAAGTCGTCAGAGACTTGACTTCAACAGTTTGACTTCGGAGGTGACCAAACCGTTGCTGCTTGGCTACCATTGCGGGGCCCTCAGGCGCGTCAAGGAAACAAGGCCCTCTCACGCGAGTCTGAGAGCACCCTGTCTTGGTCAGTAAGCTAGCCTGTGCCTAGTGGTGTGCCTGTCTCTTATACACATCTAGATGTGTATAAGAGACAGACCCACTATTGCACGATGTTGCCGTACATCGACGCTGAGTGGCCTGTCTTAGTCAGCATTGAAGACAGCACAACAGGGGCAAGGCTCGTTAGGAAGGGAGGTTGTTCCTGAGAATTAGGAAGTCGTCAGAGACTTGACTTGAACCTGTCTCTTATACACATCTAGATGTGTATAAGAGACAGGTACCATTACTGTGCAATTGCTGCGAAGTGCTAAACCCACTATTGCACGATGTTGCCGTACATCGACGCTGAGTGGCCTGTCTTAGTCAGCMTTGAAGASAGCAYAACAGGGGCAAGGCTCGTTAGGAAGGGAGGTTGTTGCTGAGAATTAGGAAGTCGTCAGAGACTAGACTTCGACAGTTTGACTTCGGATGTGACCAAACCGTTGCTGCTTGGCTACCATTGCGGGGCCCTCAGGCGCGTCAAGGAAACAAGGCCCTCTCACGCGAGTCTGAGAGCACCCTCCTTGGATCTGAGAGTCTCAAATCTATCTTCTTCTGCCCTTCTTACTCTACGTCTAGTCTATTGGTTTTGAGAGGAAGGCGGCAAGCGGGATTGCAACCCGTAGGTCTGCATCAAGACTCTGTGGGGAGTCAACCCACCGGTTGAGGGAGCTCTGCTGGAACTCAGGAGGAGTTCTGGAGGCAGGGAACTGAAAGGTAACCATTTGCTTTCTCTTATAAACCTAGTTATAACCCCTATTTGTATATCTTGCTATGTTGACTGAGTATATTGCATGCATCCCTACTTTGACTTTTAGTTTGACTTTCAGGACATGAACTAGATTAAGTAAAAGAATGCATGAGCAATTTTCAGTTTCAGTTTTTGTTGATTGTCTGAAAGCAGATTGTGAAAAGGGGTTGCATCAGGGAGAAGGCTGGGAGGAAGGCAGTTTTGCTTGCGCTTGAACGGGTCTTATAGGGTCAGGCATTGTTTCTAAGATGAATGGCCTAACTGCTGTATTTTGTTCTGTTTTCTGAAGGGCCAAGCATTGTTTCTAAGATGAATAGCTTGGTCGCTATGTTTATTTAATTTAACGAGGCATTGTTTCTAAGATGAATGGTCTGGTTGTTGTTTCTTTAGGGTATTGACTGTGTAAACTTTGAGGACCAGACATTGTTTCTAAGCTGGTCGTTGTTTTTTTTGGGTGGTTTCTTAACAGTCTCTGGGTCTTGACCCAGGGTGCTCTGCTTTTTTTTGTGCTGAGAAAAGAGGGTTGAGCATTGTTTCTAAGACGAGTGGCTCAACTCTTTTGGTTGTTTTATTCTTAGGGAGGTTCATGATAAAGACTGGACATTGTTTCTAAGATGAATGGTCTAAGTCTGAGGCCACAGGATTACAATGTGAACAAGGGAATATGACTTTCTTTATTTCTATATCTATATGTTTATAAGAACAAGGCTAGCCAGACATTGTTTCTAAGACGAATGGTCTGACTATAGCCTTATCATAAATTAAGAGAGTATAACTAAGAGCTATAATTGAAGGTAACTTGGGCCGGCTGAGCATTGTTTCTAAGATGAATGGCTCAGTCCTACGTCCACTTTTGAACATCAACCTCGGAGAGATATATATAACTTGGTTATTTAAACAGATCAGGGCGACTAAGCATTGTTCTTAAGACGAATGACTTAATCATATGTCCAATGAAGAGAAACATAGTTGTATAAACTATTGTTTGCCAAAGGTGACTTGGGTTGGTGAAAGTAGTTACCTTTGTGGTTTGACCTGCATGTGACTGAGTGGGATCACTACTTAGTCTGAGTTTCAGTTTGACAGGTAGTTGCTTTAGAGGCTCGCCACGTGCTAGAGCGATAGGAGTTAGTTTCGATTTTTGCATTTTCTGAGTTAACTTTATTTTACTTAGATCAATTTTTGCATTTTCTGAGATCAGTTATT